TTCTTCAGGGATTAGGGTGGGCTCCAATAACAAAACACTACCTCTCCTCTACTAGCTGCAGTGAATTTACCACAGATGCTTCCAGTTAAGTATGCAGTCTGTCGCAGCAGACTTCAGGGTGCTTGGCTTCAAACCAGTTACTAGTGTTAAACCAAATAACTTGTCTCTATTTCTTTCCATGCTGGGACTTGAAATTTAGACCTTCAAAAATCCCCAAATCATTAATATTTGGTGTCGGGTATAACGTGCCTGCACTCGTAAGTTAGTGATGGACAATACAATTTTAGAGGCCCTCTAGCAAAGCTTCATCTCTGTTAAACACCACCCTTTATGAAAGGGTGGGAAATGAAGGACAAACGCCACTTTCCTTTATTAAACGCTGTGAGATATAGATGCCTTATATAATGGTTTCTAAGCCACAGGACTGGATGTTCATGTTTAAGACCTGCAGCTCTAGATGAAAGCTATAGAGATGCCACCTTTTGCTTTTTAAGTATTGCCTTTTCAGAGAACCTAGTTTTGCATGGATGAAAAAAAGGGTTTTGACACTGGTAGACTGGCCTGGCTTAGCTTGTTGAATTTGTGACTGGCTTTGTTTCGTGGGTTTTAGCCACCATGCTAGCTGGGCCCTGCTATGCTTCTGAGTTTCATCAGTACAGCTTACCCAGATTTCAGGTCTGTAGAGTCCATTTGATATTGACTGTAGTTTGCAACTACTAATACTGAGAAGAATTTTTCTGGCCTCCAGGCTCTAATATGATTTCTTCCTCCCCCACCCCATGGGAAGTTATTTCTGTTTGGGGGAAGGTGCTGAATGTATGAACATTTAAATAGAGCTTATTATTATTGATTCTCTCTCATAGCTTCCATGTTCATTGATAATGACACCCACTATGTTTTTGTTGTGTATTAGCATGGTATAATTCTAATCAGCTTTGTTCTGAAGTTTGGGGAACAGGAAAAAATAATAATACAATTTAAAGTTTTACACGTTAACTTTTGCATTATGCTGTTGCCCAGACAACTCTTTTTACATTAAGGCATTAGAGAAACAGGGCTCTGCAAAAATAGCCATGTAATTTCGTGAAACACTTGTGCCCTGGCAAAAAAGTAAAATGCAACTTTGTGCCCAAAAACAACACACTGCAATCAACTTCACTTTCTGGCTGTCACTTTTTAAAAATAATGTAATTAAGACCCTAGGCACGTTAAACTGGATAATGAACTGCAAACACATTTACCTTAGATATGCTTGGAGTATTGAAGGGCTGTTAAGCATAACATTTTTCATGTTCAGTACTTTGCTGTTCAGCACCTAGCCATGAAATTTGTCTGTCCAGCCTGATCACCTTTTGTATGCATTTTGTGTCTTTCAGCAAACGAGGATTCAGTGTCCGATCCTTTGGAACAGGGACTCACGTGAAACTACCAGGACCAGCGCCAGACAAGCCAAATGTTTATGATTTCAAAACGACATATGATCAGATGTACAATGATCTGCTTAGGAAAGACAAAGAACTGTATCCCTGTGGAATGCCCTTTAAAAAAAATCCAATGTGGTTCATCTCTGAAAGGTGTAATTCATTATTTTGCATAAGGATTAGGCAGCTGCTTGACTGTGACAAGGTCTTAAAGATTCTAGGCAGGTATTCACAGTATGTAAGGGTCTCTTTAACACTCCCTTGTAACTTGCTACTGAGTTGTAATGCATGCATTCAGAATACTTTTTCATGGTAAATTAACATTAGTAGTTCTTGAACAGAACTATGAATATTTGAACCTTTGTCCATTAACTCCAGTGCACTGCGGGTCATGCTTTCCCAGTGCATAGCCCATTCCTGGCAATGGACATGCCAAGATCTGGCCCCACAAGGATTAAAATTGTATTTAGCTCAGTCAAGCGAGCAGGTAAGGAGTAATGTATGCTAGTAGCCTTGGTGGGGAGAACATAACTCATAACGTGTTCTCCCTTCTCATCAAGAAGCTAACTGGCTTTCTTCTGGTTTTGACTGTACACCAAAAAAGTATTCCTTGAGTCTGTTTCCAAGTGCAGGAAGCCCAGTAGAATGCAGTGTTTGCTTCTAATAGCCAGTGAGGCTCATGCACACTGACTTATTTGACATCAGCCACAGGCACACAGTATTTTAGAATGCCCATAATTAAGGGTTTTGGTTTGTTTGTTTGTTTGTTTGTTTGTGTTTAACCATATCTCTATTTTGGAAAATTAGGGCACTTGTTTTGGGTCTTGCTTTTTACACAGACACTAATTTTTAATATTAAAAGTCCAGTGTAAAACCAAAAACTGCTTAATTTTAAGCGTACTATAAATTCCTTATGCAGGTTTTGCTTATTAGTTCCTTAGAAATATTGAGAGGCCCTTTGTTATAAAATGAGGTCACTGTTTAAGGAAGGAAGTTAATGCAGCATTCTGTCCCATTCCTCAGTGTTGCCTGATCAACATTTTCTGATTTCTGGGGATCTTGATTATATTTGAGGAAGGAAGGACTTGAATTAGATTTCTCCCAAAACATTAAATGAATGTTGAATCAAGGTAATCAAATCTTAAGATCCCTGTATCATTTAAGTCTTTGCAAATAGCCCTTTTAAAAATAGGAGGTAGGATCTTAAAGCAGTTGAAAATATTTTAACCCTTTTAGCATGCCCCTTTTAGTATGCTTTGAAACTCAATTTCTGTACAATTCAGCAGCCTGTTTTTATGTGGTAGAATTTTTTTGCTATTTTTTTTTTAAAAGCTGAGAACAGATGACAGATAGAACTAGGAATACAGTGAAACCTATTTTAAGTGGCCATCCAAGGAATCAAAGCAAGTAGCCCAGTGGAAGAGATGAACTTTTAGCCATCGGTTCAATAAAACTTTGGATTCAGCAGACACTAAAATAGCATGGACAGTATGGAGTAGGTCCTTAGTACAGATTTCACTGTGGCTTGATTTTAAGTCAGCAGGTTCGTAGCTGTGTATTTGCTGACTGGAAAACATTAAATTTGAGCTCCATAAGACCCCAGTAGTGGTGGTTTCTTTTTGTGTTGGGTTTCCGAAATGTTCTCAGCTGAGAAGGACTGCTCCATAAATAGTACCAAGTATCTGTGATACTTGATGCTACGTTGGGAACTTCCTTCCATACGGTCTTTGGACACAATTGCTGTCCTTATTGTGAAGAGAGATTAGGGAACCAATTTCTGGTCAGAGGGCTGAGGAGGATTTTTTTTTTTTTTTTTTTTCATTTTAAATTCAGAGCATGTCCCTGGACTTCTTCACCAACAAGTGTTAAAATTACATTGTGTACAAGAGAGAGCTCCCAGCCAGACCATGCTCTAATTGAGATGCTTCACAACTTGGTGGCAGTACCTTTTTTTTTTTTT